TGTCCCTAGCCAAAGAATTCAGATTAGATTTCGCCTTTGTTTCTGGTCATCTCATTCATGGGCTCTCATGGAGGACTGCAGACACAGCAGGGGGCTTCTTTAGTCTAAGCAGAAAACTGGTTAGAATTAGGGAGAAATGCCAACTTTTTTTTTTTTAATCAGACATTTACTCTCATGCCTCGGTCACTCCCAGCTCTCTGGCAAGGGATCAGAAAAACACCCACATCAGATAAGGACATCTTATTAGTTCTGTCACAGATAGTGTTAATTTACAATGCAAGATAAGATTTCTTTACAGTACTGGACTTTTTTCATTATAAAATCCAAAGATTTGGGTTCTATCTCAATGCCTCAACAGGGGAAAAGGAATCCCAGCCTTGTCTCTATGTTTGGTTTTCCCCCATTCTAAAGACACCTGGGAAAACCTGGAGCCAGAAACAGCAGTTTTGTTTCTCATTTTCCAGACTTATTTCACAGCTCTCTCTCCTCACCCACAAAGATGCATCCTGAGAGCAAGGCCTTGTTCACCATCCTGGTCCCAGTCCTACCAAGACTCATGCACATGCTTAACTTTAGTCCCTGAAAGCAACAGGATTACTCATTACAAGAGTGCTTGTCCTGAATAGTGAGACATACAAAAATATTTGTGGGGACATGGCCTAGGTTCATCGCTTGTTGATCAGGGGAGTTCTTCAGTATTCTCTCAAGTCTATACCAAGGAGCGGTCTGACAGTTTTGTCCCCACCAGAAACAAAGCACGTCAACAGTAGGGCTGTGCAAAGCTTTGGCTGCTAATTTGATTCGGAGGAGATTTAGCCTGATTCAGTGGCCGAATCTCCAAATCCGAATTGAATCAGAGGACCAATTAAAAGGTCCAAATTGATTTGGAAAAGATTCAGAGAGCTTAGATGATTCGGGCAGTCCCTGCCCGCTGCAGCAGGGAACTGGACCCAGACTCCGACCTGATAGGCAGAGGGCAAGGAAGGGGAGGCTGGAGGAGGGGACCATGGGGGGGACCCCTGTCAGGCCCCATCCCCTGCCTGCTCCCCACCCTCCCTGAGCACCCCTTGACCCCCACCTGCTCCCCTGCCCACTCCAGCTCCTGGCCCTTTAAAAAAAAAAAAAAAAAAAGCCCCAAAATCACCGGCTGCTGCAGCGGCCTCAGGGCTTCTGGGGACTTGTGCAGAGCCCCCATGCAGCACAGGGCAGTGTGGGGAGCAGGGATTGCCCCCTCGCCAAGCAGGAGCCAGTGCGTTGGGGCTTTTTTTTCTTTTTTTGTTTTGTTTTAAAGAGCTGGGAGCTAGGGCAGGCGGAGCAGGCACTGAGAGCGGGCAGGGGATGGGGCCTGTGCGATTCGGAGATTTGGCTGATTCAGCAGCAGCCGAATCTCCAAATCAGATTTGGCTGAATTGATTTGGGACAGTGATTCGAATCACCGAATCGAATCACTGTCCCCCAAATCGGCTGAATCCAAATCCAAAGTGAGTGCTAGCTGCTTTGCACAGGCCTACTTGACAGTGCTTGAGCACAACAGGGAAGCCCAACTTCATGCTTCAAGAAAAAAGCAAAGGAAGCCATGGACTCAGACATAGTTGCCAATGTCTTGCAAGAGGGAAAATATCCTTCTTCACCTCAAATATGGTGATTAGTTCCAAGCTTTCTTGCTGCCTAGCATCAACAGGTCCTGGAATTTCAGAAGTATCTAGGCAGAGTAAGTTTTTGGCCAGCCAAACACCTAATCCCCTTCTGAACCCACCCAAGGGATCTTCACTATCTGCACAGGGGGTAGCTCTCCCAAAATCATTCTGGACAACTAGAAGATAATCCTTTCATTTTCTACTCGCCTTATGATGCCCCTAAGTCCTAGAGTCTGACTGGCAATGCAAGGGAGGCAATAGTGATGGGCAGCAAGCATGCTATAGCGTTTGCTGAGGTCTGTGGCATTATTTCCTTGAAGGGAGAAAGATGCTGCATCAGGGGTGGCCAAAATGCGGCCCAGGAGCCAGATGTAGCCCTCCAGGCCATTCTATCTGGCCTGCTAGGCCCCTAAAAATTTAGAAAATTAATATTAATCTACCCTGGGCTGCCTGTCACACGGCCCTTAATGGCTTGCCAAAACTCAGTAAGCAGCCCTCTGCCCAAAATAATTGCCCACCCCTATGCTACATGGACACCCCTGCAGATGCAGACTATGCCTATGAAACGTAGCCTTTGCCCCATCCCATTAAAATCACCACCAATGCCAACACTCCTGAAGCCCAGCATGGTCACTTCTACAATCTGAGGAATTTAGTTTCCAAAGACTGTCACATGGATAGTTAGAGACAAACTGGTACCTTTCATAGTTTCAACCTTGTTCCTAAACCTACAGGGCTGTCACAACAGAAGGAAAGAAAAGCACCATAAAACTGGAGCTTTCAAGCCTCCTTGCAGCTGGCCTTAGAAGAATGAGTCTCATTCCAACCCTTACAAACTCATCCATTAGGATTGTAGCTCATTTTTCCTAGCCACTAGCAGATGGCTAGGTTACCATTGGGTTTGAACTGTCCACTGAGGAGCCAACTGCCCATTATTCCATTGCTGAGCCAACAGTGCCTTTCTACCCCAATCTGAAGGAGAGACTTTAACTGTGTTGCTTATCTCAGTTGTGAGGATGATTTTCCTACATCATGATAATTTCTGCTTGGCCTAAATTGTACCAATTGGCATTCATGGCACAAAGTGAAAAAGGAGAGAGGATGTCATTTCTTTGAGTTAAATATCAGTATCAGCCTGGAACAAAGCCAGGTCTCAGATGACAAATTATACCCAGCAGCAAAAGTTTAGAAACAGTACAGAAGTCTTTTTTTTTCCTTTGGAATATGGATAAAAATGGAACAAGGACAGATGCTTTCCATGTCAGTTGTAAACAGGTTGGCTTGTTTACATGCCCTATTCCTCACTTGCTCCTAGGGAAAGTATATTTAACTCTGTTACATAAAGAGAATAAAGCGGGTGATTAATATGCCTTTGCTCAAGGATTAATGTCTTGTCATTTCAGCTTGGTTATAATTGTTCAGTATAAAGCAGCCACCTGCCCCTCCCAAAGTACTAGGACACTCAGTGAGGAAATGCTAAAAATAACCTGCTAGGCGTTATGTGGAAAGACAGCCCACGCTGGCTGTATTTCACTGTGGTGATCACCACGTGTCCTTGAGAAATGCCATCCCATTGATCCTTCCTGTCTAAATTGACTTTCACATACATCTTACACTGGATACGTTCTAGTGCTGAGCTGCTGTGCTGCGTGAGAGACCTCTCTTGCCCCTACAAATGCAGAAAAGAGGAGCTATAGGAAGGTCGTAATGGTGGAACGCCCCTGTCTTCTGGCGTTTTCCAAGCAACAGATCGACTGCATCAGATGAGCCTTTCTTAGAAATGCAACCCTCTTGTCAGGTTTGTCTGAAGTTGGCCAACAGGCTCAGAGAAGTGCCCAAAGTTGGGGAAGTGAAGACAGTTCTGATGCCTTGTGGGTGCATCTACATGTTGCCCTTTGTTACTGCACCATCATTTCGGACTTTCTTTCGGAAGTCCTAAATGACGGTGCAGTAATAGCCCATACTGCACCATGCTGGCAGCACACATTTTTTTTTTGCCACTACGGCACTGTAGCAGTACACTATACTGAGGGAGTCCATTGCTATGGAGATGTAGCGTTTTGTGTAGATGCACCCACTGAGTTTCTAGAGGAAGTTATGTAATTGTGATGTGGTAGCACCGAGAAACACCAACTGAGACTAGAGTGCTTTACATGCACACAAGACATGGACAAGTTATGAGGTGGGTGGGGGCAAGTGCATCAGCAGTATGTCAGCTTCACCTGTGCACTCTCTTACCGGTCTTTCCCTAGAGGGCCAAGCCACCACTGTTTGCATTCAGTGTGGGATAAGATCACATGTATGGGTGGATCTCATGGAGCAACCTACCCTATAGAGCCCCAATCTCCTTTACATCACTGGCGAGGGGTAACTGGCACCCTTGTCCATAAGAGACCACCCCTGCCCTGAAGAGCCTACAGTCTTAATAAAAAAGGGTGCTCTGCTGCCCCTGTTTTAATGGGGAATGTCCAAGGAAGCCTGCAGAAGAGTCAAGGAAGCAAAGAGTCCCACTCTAGTCGCAGAAGCACAAAACCCTGCATCCCTCTTGCTTTCCGCCAGTTCAGAAAAAAAGAAAGAATAGCATTCTAGTGAAGCAAAGGGAAAATGCTGCAGTCTCAGAGCCGTTTGAGCTTTGCAGGAGATATGGGTGGGAAACATCCATGTTTTGGGTTTGACTGTGTGCATGCTTGGAGGTGAGCCACCAAGCTGTAAAAAATTATGAAGCAGGAACAGTCCACATGCAATTTGCTCCACGGCTCAATAGACAAACCCCCTTTGCTCTGGAGGGACTCTATCATCTTAGAAAGAAGGCATTATTTAATACCGGCAGAGTAAGCCATTCTGATGCACTGGCCATTCTCCCAGCACACCCCCAAAACCTAACACAGCTGGGTGTTTTCTATCAAATGCACATGTTAAAGCAGGGAGTCAGGTTCTTGTTTTATTCTTTCCATGTCACACAAAACTCTCCCATCTGCAGTGATAAATGGAGGAAGATCATAGACCAGATTTGGAACTTTGAACACAAACTACTGCAAGTGTCAGGGTCATCACAACTAACTGCCCAAATCAGAGCCACCTCCCTTGTGCATTTTTATCTACAGAGCAGATGCAAAAGCCAAAAGCTCTGTCCTGTCCCCAAGAGATGTTTTCCTTCTTCATATAAAGTCACATAACAACAGCTGAGTTGATTTCAGCCACCACCTCAGAACCATGGCTTTGGCCTTGAACCCTAAACCGCTCAAACTACTCCAACTACAACCTCCATCATCTCATCTGCAATAGCAGTATGTGCACATGAACAAAAATAAATGACAAGCCTCTCACAAAAAACAAACCACGTTTCCAGAAGCCAGCTCTCACCTGCATAGCCTCAGCACAGATCAGTTTGGTGGCCACGTTCTACCCTCTGAGAATGGGTCTTCACCAAGGAAACACTGCCAGTATAATAAATGGAGCAGCAGGTACTACTAGGCAGTATACTGTCTATCTGGAGAAAAGCAGAAAGAAAAAGAGTCTTAGCAAGTCAGCTCACGACTGATTCATTGTTACACTTTTTTCTTTTCTGTTAATCGCATCAAACTTCTCTTTCCTCCAGCCACTAATGTTGCTTTAATACACACATGCAGATGACCCTTCAGAAAACAACTATCTTTCACCAGGTAAACCATAAATAATAGGGCAGGGCAAAATTTCGCCAGCAGTTTTGTTTTGATGCTGTTTCAACTCGTTTCGAGCTTGAAACAGCAAAATCGAAATGAAACTGAGAGCTTCGAAACAGCCACAAAACGAAACAAGGCAAGTTGAAACATTTCAAAATTTTCAAAACATTTCTGTCAAAGATCAAAGTCTTTGATTTCGGATGCAGATGGCAAAAGGTCAGAGGCTAACACAGCAAACTGTAATTGTAGTCTGTCCCTCTGTACTGACAGCGCTGCATGCACACACCCTTGTTTGTGCCTCATTTCAAATCACTTGAGCTTCTCATACGACAGAGAAACTAAACTTGACAGCCCAGCACGAAAGATAACGTACCCATTAGCAACGAGATTAGCTGACTTTAATGAAACTGTAAGATCAGAACAGTGTGCCGTGCTTACCCTCTTGTGACCAAACAGGCTCAGTACCACCTAAACTAAAAGAAAGGCCCCCCCTTTCTTGAAGGATGGGCTGCCAGCATGAAACTTGAGCAAACAAAGAAAGCACAAGTGCCAACCTGTTAATTATTCATGCCTGGCGTGTAGTAATTGGCCACCCTGCCTAGTATAACTTTGAAAGAACTTCCGCCCAAAGGGGAGATCTCGGAGCATTCCCAAGAGACACAGTCTGTAATCTGATCAGTTACAGACATCTCCCTGCCCCAGTTTATTTTTTTTTTTGGCGTAACCCCGTTTCTGCCGGCTCGTCTTATCTTCGTCATCCGTCTTTCTCGCCAAGAGCTTTCGGTAATCTGCAGACCGTAGTAATCTGTGTGAACTGCTTAAAACCTGTATTCAGCAAGTCTGCAACCCACTGTAATCGCTGGGTGACAGAACATCTGCATGCTGTAACTAAGTAATCAACTCTTCTGCCTACGCTGCAACCATCAGTAGCGTAAGTAAAATAAACTTTCTGTGTAACCAATACGCTTTAAATCTCCTGACTCCTACTCACCGCTACTACCCATCTGTCCGATCACCGTTCTTACTCGCGCCAAGCCGGTCGTGCCGACCCAGGCTCGCGGGTCAAGGGTGCACTGGACCCTGGGCGCGACAGTTTCGAGTTTCGAAACTCAAACTGGACTTGCCTGCAGGGAAGCAGAAACTAAAGTAAAGAGGAGGGGAAAGAGTGGGAAAGGACTGCTCTCATTATTGACTGAGTAGCTGGCCAGTGACTGTCATCCTTCCCTGAGGTCCCCTCCAAACCCAGTGCTCTGGGGGAGGGATGGAAAAACTGCATAAAAGGCAGCATTGTTTGAACTGCCCTGCTTTCTGCCTTGGTGTCAGCTGAGTGTGGGCGCACCTTAACACACACAGTGGCACCCCCCCATGTCACAAGTTTTGCCTGTCAGCAGCTAGAGGTGCAAGGCCCCAGAACCCAGACTGATGAAACAAAACAGAACAGCAGTTTCGAATTGACACGAAATTCAAAATGAAACACTGTTCCGTCGAAACACAAGTTGAAATGGAGTGGTGCCGTTTCGCACAGCCTTAATAAATAACCATGCTGGTTTCAGCATGACAAACAGATTTAGTTGCACCCTGATCAGAGGCCATGTTAGTCCTGAACAGTAGCTGCTTGAAACTGAGGTTTATTGGACACCAAATAGTCTAAACTTGTAAAACTTTTAATGCTCTCAACTGGCTTCTCCTGCCTACAGGAACCTTCTGGCTGCACATTGATGGTGTCAGTACACAGCTGCTCTCTGAAAAATTAAGCGTGATTATTAGTAAAAGACCAGGCTGAGCGTTCAGTGGACCTCTCTATTATTATGCCCCCTAAGATAATTGCTCACAAGCCCATGAATTTCCCTCTGGTCCTTGGTGAACTCTTTTGCCTCCAAGAGCAAGAAAACCCCACCAGCAGCTCCAGTAACGTGGTGTAATTACATTTGACAGTTTGCAGATTACAGCCTAGAACGTTAAAGGGCTCAGTCATTGTCGCTGATCAGAACTGAATCTTTGTCAATACAAGAGGCCAGCACCAAGCTCCAGTCAGATTTCAGTACCATGAAACAGAGAAAAACACCACTACTACTCCCCAGTGGGGGTGGTTTAAGAACAGATAGATTATTTGACAGGGTCTGATGTAATTAGGATGATTGTTTGGTGGTGTCACATTGGGATGAAAGCTTCAGCATCACAACTCAAGACCTTAATGGAAATTTCTGACATGATACAAGTCAGAGGAAATAAATGCAAGTCTTAAGACCCAGACACAGAGATATTAAGATGCCTTAATTCCTATCATAATTAATGGGATTTGATTTCACAGGAGACAGGCACCTTTGTGGGTCCGGGCCTAAAAGGCCCAAAGCCTGCTTCGCCATTGCCTTGCACTTCTTGTCATGGTTTCTTACACTAAGCAAGTGGAGAAAGCTACCAACGCAGTGCTGTGCCCCAAGCTAGACCTCTGTAATGGGTGCACAATGTGCAGAGAAGTAGAGGATTAGATTCCTAGCTGTCTGCAGATATTTCAAATCTAGCATACTCTGGAGCATATCTTCTATAAAGACTGTTGATTTGCTGCTGTCCAGGTCTTAACTTTTTGAGTTATCTCATGCTGTGGATACCTTCCTGGATAAAGGTCTTTTGATGACTTCACAGCATGCTGAAAAAGGCCATACAGAGAATCAAAGTACATGCCAGGTTACAAACATCATAAATAAGATCCAAAAAAAATATGGAGCTATAGATCTGAGCATTGGCTCTGAATGTTTAAAGATGCCTTTGCTGCCAAGTTAATTCAGGTGTTTATTTAGGGGTTGCCTCTAACCTTCCTACTCAACACAAAACAATCATATTTGGAGGTGCCTTCAACCTGAACTAGTTGGCTTGCCTGGGAATTACAAGAGAAAGGTTGCTTGGATAAGCTTTGTTCTCACTGAAAAATAGTTGGGTTATGCCTCTGAAGTACTGATAATCCTTCATCAATTTACCATAGTGTCCCAGGGAACTGGGACGGGACTTACCTGTGGCGGCAGAGAAGCCCGCGCGACGCGTCTGCCGCTTGTTTACGCCGACGCGACCGGAAGTCGGCATCGGCACTGGCAGACGGCCGCCGGGGATAAAAGCGGCCGCGGGGAAGGGACAGGGGGAGGAAGGGGCTGGGGACTCCTCATCAGCGGAGGCCGGAGGCCCCGGAAGAGAACGGGCCACGGGCCCCGCACTAGGAGGGGCAAGGCAACCCCGAGCAGGACGAGCCACCAACCACTCAACACAAGAAGCAAAGGGCTCCGGAGCCGAGCGAACAGCTAACTCCCCAGAGGACGAGGCAGGGAACTCCGGTGGTGAGCTGCTACCTGCCCAGACAGAGAGGAAGATACCTGCAACAACCAACCGCAGGACAACGACTGAGGAGCAGCAGATGGGCTCCAAGGACAAGGAAT